TGTGGTGATTAGCCATGACTGGGTCACCTATTCACTCCAGGCCAGGCACTGTGGAGCTGGCCACACCCAAGTCACACATTGGAAGGTTAAGGGGGCGGGGCGGTGGTTCATCAAACAAAATCGGGATGACGTCACTAGGAGAGTGGGATGGCAAAAGCTACCAACATCCACCCCCTAGATCCTCTTTGGGAATACATGTTAATGGCACTCTCACACCATCCGTGCGAGATGGAGGCAGGATAGAGAGTCTGGAACGCTTCCTGGAATGGTGGGACATGACTTAATTCCTATTTGTAGGGAGATGGTGCTTCTGGCTGAGAAGATGCCAGGAGGAAAAGCCTGGTGTGTGTTGGGGGGGCAGTGGCAGAGTGGGAGTGATGGTATCACACAGGCCAGGGCCTGCAGGAGTACAGAAGTGGGGAGTGAGGGCTGGACTGGGGAGGCCCCCAAGGCCAAGTGAGGGCGTAGGGACTGGGAGTGGAGGTGGGAAGGGAGCTTCTGACTGAGGAAGCCAATCACAGGTGAGGCCTTGCAGGCCAGATCATCAAGCTGGGACCTGAACCTTGCAAGTCCTGCCCGGACACCATCCATCAGGGAGCTGACTCAGAGAGCTGGAGCCAGGGAAGCAACAATTCCAGAGACTTCCTCTGAGGGATGAGCAAAGCTGGCCCCAAGAGAGGAAGGGAGTGGCCCAGGGTCACGAACACTCTGGTTGTGAGGAATTGGGGTGGGTAGGGGTTCAAGGGCCCAGCCCCACCTCTCACACACCTTCTTGTCTCTTCCTTGAAACCCCAGAGAAGTCCTAGGGCTGGTGGACCTGGTTGCCCTGGAGAATGGGGATCTAGGACCCCTTCTGTCCCCTGGCACCCTGCGCGGCTTGGAGGATGAATGTGTCACAGACGTGAAGGTACCCAAGACTTGGCAATGGAGATTTGGGAGGGAGCAGGAGACACTGCAGGCACAGAGGGGTTACACTGGGCCTAGGGGCCTCTCCTCAACCCCCTTTCACTATTGCCATCTCCCTTTGTGGATTTCTGAGCTCTGCCCAAAAGATGCAGCAAAGTAAGCCATACCACTCCTGTCCTATGTCCAGTTATATTGCAAACACCCAGCTGAGCACAGAGACACTCAGCAAAGGTTGAATACATTGAGACATTTCAAATCTTAGGGCAAGAGAGAGTCAGTCACAGGACCTCAGCTCACAAAAACAAAGATAGAAGGAGGGCATCAAAGCATCTCTGCATATAAGCAGGGCTAATAGTAAACATGGTCAGTAACTGGCGAGGCACAGGCATAGCTGAGCAGAATGGCCCCAGCTAAGAACACCCAGCCTGGCCTTGGGGCTATTTGCCGCCTGAATGACAGTCATGCTTCAGCCACAGAAATCAGAGTCTTTGCAGCTTGAGAGTCTAGAATCTGTGAATGGAACATATCTAGACTCTCAGGCTCACCGAAGAACACACTGAACCAGGGAATCAGAGATATGTAAACCTTAGAATTCCAGACCCTTGGAATTCTTGAATCACAGAATTGGACAATCATGTATGAACTATTTTGTAGAACCTGAGAGCAGAGTCTTAGGACCATCAGATAATGAAAGAATAAGAGAAAAGACCCTTACACTAGCTATTAGATGGAGGAAGCTTAAAACCATAGACTCTTAATCTCAAGCTCCAAGTCGTAGATTTAAGAATAGAAGTGGCTGATGAGGTTTTTCTGGTCCAACTTCCCTTCCTAGCATGACCTTGACGAGCTCACAAGTAGAATCCAAACCTGCTTGGGACTGAGGGGCGGGGATTGGAGTGGGAAAAAGAGGGAGAGGCTCCCAGGCAGCCCCCGACTGCTGTCTCTCCCCGCACCTCTGCAGGCTCAGACGCGGGCAGCCCTGCTCCGAGTGCTACAGGAGGACGAGGAGCACTGGGGGAGCGCAGAGGACGCACCCAGCAGCCTGGCGCAGGATGTGTGCGAGGTAAGGAGGGGGGAGGAGGAAAGAGAGTCCCCTGAGGTGAGAAAGTGGGACTTCACCCCTCCTCACCTCCTGTCGTCTCCTGGACCGTGCAGCTGCTGGAGGAGCACACGGAGCGAGCGCCACGCATCAGCCAGGAGTTTGGGGAGCGGATGGCTCACTGCTGCCTGGGGGGCCTGGCAGAATTCCTGCAGAGGTACAGAGAGCTGGGAGCAGGGCCGCAGGTCTGCGTTGGGGCACCAGGACCCGCCCAGATCTAACGGGGAGAGGAGAGATGAAAGGGAATCAAGGGAGGGTGCCCAGCGCCTCAGCGGGGACGCAGGCTTTGCTGGGCTGAGTGCCCTGCATGGGAACCCTATCCAGCCGTGCTCCATCTGTCATGCTGCCCTCCTTTTCTCTTCCTACCAGCTTCCAGCAGCGCGTGGAGCGATTCCACGAGAATCCAGGAGTCCGGGAGCTGCTTCCCGACACCTATATCAGCAAGACCATCTCCCTGGTCAATTGTGGCCCCCCCCTGAGGTGAGAGGGCCAATGGTGTTGGGGGGAGAAGACCAGTCCCAGTGACAACCTAAACTGGGTGCCAAGATCCAGGGTGGGGATCACAGAGGTGGCCCAGGGGGGCATGTACCTGGGCCTCAGAAGCATCAAACCTGGGCGTCCTGGAAAGAAGCTTAGCATCACAGGGCACTAGAATCAGAGCGTCGTCAGGACATGGGTGGGTTGGAATGACAGCAATTTCACAGCCAGCCTGAAACACTCTTAAGAATTACACTTTTTTGCCTTTTTCATTTTCCTTTTTTATTAACTTATTTTTAGATTTAGAGCATTTAAAAATTGGTAAGCATGCACATGGTTCAAAATTCAAGATACAATCTGGCATACAGGGAAAAGCCTCATTCCCACCCCAACCCCCACCATTGCTGGTTATGGCTCATGTCTTCCTATCTTTGTAGGGATATTTGTTACATTTACCAATAAATCTGCATAAGTCAGTGTATATATGTGTATGCATACTACATACATATACATGTACATGCATAATTCATACATGCAGAAGGAAATGTATTTAACTATGTGCATGCAGTTATTCTTTTTCCTTTAAAAAAAAAACCCCACAAATGGTGGAATACTGAACGCACTCTGCCCCTTTTCCCTTAACAGTTTGGAGATATTTCTATTAGTGCATGAAGAGTTCCCACATTCCTGTGTAATACCTGAACTGTATTCCACTGTTTGATAGACCATCATTTCTTTAATCTGTCCCCAATGGACGGACAGCTGGCCCCACCGTTTTGCAGAGAAAAACCTGGCACATCTGTCATCTCCCACAATTGTGGGCACTCTGAGGGACACAATCCCAGAAGCGGGCCTGCTGGAGGTTGGGCAGAAAGTGTCAAATTTGGTCCTTGGACTTGGTTACTGTTTTCAGTGATGGAGGGTCATTGACTTACAATGACAGAAAATGAGAAGGGTAGAATTTGAAAATTATAGATATTCAGAATCACATTCCACAGAGCCCCCATGGCCCCCAGCCTCCCAGACATCCTCAGATATTCTGCAGGCTCCAGATCCTCCCCGGAGCCCCTGTCTTTCCCCAGCTCCCCATCCGACCTGTCACCCCTGTGCCCCACAAAGAGCCCATCTAAGGAGGGAGACAGGTCCAGGCAGCTGGGCTGAATTTTGGGGGGTCCTTAACTTTTGGCTCCACTGATCCCCACAGGGCTCTGGCAGAACGCTTGGCCCGGGTGGGACCCCTGGAAAGTGAGCCGGCACGGGAAGCAGCAGCCAGCGCTCTGGACCGCGTGACCCGGCTCTGCCACCGTGTCCTGGCCGACCTGCTGTTCCAGGAGCTGCAGGTGAGAGAGGCAGGAGCTGGGGTGGGGCCAGGACAGGTGAGTGCCCCCATCCCGCAGTTCCTTTCATCCCACAAATCAGTGTTTGGCCATGTCTGGTCTACTTGAGGGTGAGTGGGGGTGCAGGAAGAGGTAGGAGGATATGGTCAAGGGGAGAACAGAGAGCCATCAGCAAGAGGGGCCCCTCCCACTGAGGTATCCCAAATCCCTGTCCAGCCTCTCCTAGACCCTAGAATTCCATTCCCAGTGTCTGGGCTCCTGGGCATGCCTGGAGGGGTCTCTGCTCAGGGGTGGGTGAGAGTATGTGGGGAGGGTGGTGGGAATGAGACTGAGAGGTATATGTGTCCCTGGCTGTAATGCATGCACAGTCCATGATGTACATCAGATCACTTCCATCTTCTGTTCAGAACCCTCCATGGCTCCCAGCTCACTCAGAGCAAAAGCCAAAGTCCTTGGCATGGCCCCTGAGACCCTGGATGATCTGACCCTTCCCTCTCTGACCTCACCTCCTAGCACTTTCTCTCCTCCACTCCAAACCCCTTGCTGCTCCTTAATCTGACAGACACATGCATACCAGTCTCAGGGCCTTTGCACCTGCTCTTCCCTCCAGTAGCCACCTAGCTCCCTCTCTCACCTCTGTTCAGTCTGACTCAGATATCACCTTTGCAGCCAGGCCTTCCCTCACTGTCCTATTTGAAACCGAAGCCCTTGAGACTCCTTCTCACTCCCTTCTGCCTTTGTCTCTGGAGCACTCACTGCTTCTGTCAGGCAATGTCTTTTGCTTTCTTTCCAACCTGTGTCTTCCCACTGGAATGTTAGCTTCACAAGAGCAGGGATTTGTTGGGAAGTTCCCAAAATAACTTTTTATTATGGAAAATTTCCAACATACACAAAAGTAGGCAGAATGACCGAATGACTTCTTGGGGACTAGCCCCAGCGAGGACCAACCCTGTGCCAGTCTGTGTGATCTTTCTCCACTTCCCCGGCCCGCTGGATTCCGTTAAAGCTGATCCCTGGCATCCTGTCATCATCCATCAACATTTTGTCCTGTATCATCAAAAGATCCGGAATCCTTTCTAAACAACAATCCCTTTACATCATCAAATATCACATCTGTGTGCCGAGTCCCCCAACCAGCTTATGAGTATAAAGTACTCAGTTTTCTTTGTCTCATTCTGTGCTGTGTCCCCCAGTTGTTCTCAATGTATCCCCACTCAGTGCTGGGCCACAAAGAGCTCATAGAGTGTTTGTTGAGTGACTAAATGGACAAGTGTGTGCATGAAAGTGAATAAGAGTGGGGGAGTCTGGGGCTGCTAGGAAGGGGGTACAGTCTTTGTTCCAGGCCCAGCTGCACCACTTCCAAGTTGAAAGTTGCTTATGCTCTACGGGGCCTCTGCTCAACTGGAACACAGGCACAGAAATGTCAGCTGCCCTGTGGCTGTGTGCAAGCAATGAGACTGTGGCCATAATGCTTAGCGTGGGTGCTGGCCTGCAGGCGCTGGCCATTATCTTCATAAATGTACAGACTTTTTAGCTGCAGCGACATACCCAGCCTGAGCTCATTGAATTCACACCTGCTTTGCAACAAAAGCTTGCAGGCCCCATTTTTGGAGGGTCAGAAAACTGGGCCACTGTTGATGTGCAAGCGGGAAGCAGGTGATGGGACCAAGGGGGATAAGGACCTGCTTCAGACCCCATGGGCACCAGCCCTAGATGTCCCTGGGCACATCACACTCCCGCTGTCTCCCCGGAGGGCAGGGTCTCCCCGAGGGACACACTCACTGCCCATCCCACCTTCTGGATCAGCCTCCCTCCTCCCCCTGCCAAGTAGTCACTCATTACATCCTATGAATCTACCACCTGGGTTCTGCTTTCCCCTCCTCCCCTTCCTTCCCACTTTCCCCATCTCCAACCTCCCTCTACGACTTCCACCGCAGTCTTGTCCCTCCCAGTGGTATGTCACAAATCTGAGCCTCTCCCTCTCCTGTTCAGAATCTTCCATGGCTCCCCAGTGCCCTCAGGGGCAAGCTGGGGCTCCTCACAGCCCTGGAGGCCCTGTGTGCACCACCCACCCGACTGTCCCCATCTCTCTACTCCCCAGGAGGCTGCTTGGTTTAATGTGCTTCTCTTGCTGTCTTGAAGCTCTTAATAATTCCTGAATTATCTTTAATTCATTTTGGACTTGGCCCTGTGAATTATATAAGTGGTCTTGCCAGCCACACTGGGCTTCTTTCTAGTCCTTTAATGGGCAAGCCCATCTGAAATTCATACCTTCTTCACACTGATTTTCCCTCTGACTGAGCCCTTCCCTCCACCACTGCTCACCTGGCAAATGATGACCATCTATCCAGGCCTCAGCTCTGGTGTTCCCTCCTCCAGGAAGCCCTCCCAGACACTCTGTGCTGACTCGGGCATCCCTGAAGGGCTTCCTAAACTCCGGGGTCCCAGTGCTGCCCAGCCTTGGTTCAGCTGGGGAGCAGGGTTTCAGCAACGTTGAGTTGGGCAGTGAAGGGGGGAGAGTGGGAGGGAGAAGAGCTATGAGCCACCCCCCTCTGTCCCACCCAGCCCCACTTCAACAAGCTGATGCGTAGAAAGTGGCTGAACAGCCCAGAGGCCCTGGATGGCATCGTGGGCACGCTGGGTGCTCAGGCCCTGGCCCTGCGCAGGATGCAGGATGAGCCTTACCAGGTGTGTGTGCTGGGCGGAGGGGGTCAGCTGGAAGTGGGAGTGGGGGCAGGGGTGGGGCGGGGGTGGGGCGGGCTGGGGTGGAGGTGGACAGGAGCGCCAGGCTTGGGGAAACCCCCTCAAGGCCAAGAGCTCCTCTCTCCAGGTGGGTAGGTGGCTCTCGCTTGGGTCTGCGGGAAAGCGTTTCTGTGGGTACTGGGGTGCAGGGCGGGTACTGGGGTGCAGAGCGATACCAGGGCTTGTGCGGGTGGAGCTCCCGAGAATGGGGAAAGGGCTGGGATGGGGTACCTTTGGGACCGGTAGGGGGTGTCTGCGGGCTAATTAGGGCACCGAGGAGGGGATCATCTGGCGGGACAGGGGTCAACAGCAGGACTCGCGAGGCAGCTGGGCGTGGGCAGGGGAGGGGTTCGCGTTGGATACCCGGAATGGGCTCGGGTGGGTGGGGAGCGGGAGAGAGGGTTCCGCCGGCTCACGTCTCCTCGCGTCTCCCGCAGGCGCTGGTAGCGGAGCTGCACCGGCGGGCGCTGGTCGAGTACGTGCGGCCCCTGCTCCGCGGGCGCCTGCGCTGCCGCTCGGCGCGGACCCGCAGCCGCATGGCGGGGAGGCTCCGGGAGGACGCGGCGCAGCTCCAGAGGCTGTTCAGGCGGCTGGTCAGTGCGGCCCGGGGGCGGGGGCTCCGAAACCGCGGAACACCTTGGCCCCCGAGAATCCCCGGACCCAATAGCTGGGGGTGGGCCTTAGAATAAGACCCTCACCCAACTTAGCGTCAAGAGGAACGCTTTGACTCTCGCCCTCGGCGCGTAAGCAGCGGCGTTCCCACGGTGCGAGCTCGCCTCCGGGCGCACGTGCGGAGCGTCCTGTCCGAAGGCCCTGGGGTGGGCATTAGATCCTCTGCCCTGGTAAGTGCATAGGACCTTACCTGGCACAGAGGTAACACTGCGTAACTAGCTAACAGGCTCTTAGGATGAGCACAGACAGAAGCTGAATGCAGCAGAAAAGCAGAACCTCGGGCTTTTCAAATCCAAGAATTAAAAATCGCCGACTCATTCGCACTCAGCAGTAATCAGCGGGACCGGAAGGGCCTCTCTCAGCCGCTATTCCAGGAGTTTCTAGGCTCCAGTTCTTGAATGTTGTTTTTCTTTTTTCCTTTGAAAATGTTTTGGGAGTACAGAGAGATCCCCTGCACAGTTACCCCGTTTTCCTGAATGGTAACATTTTACAAACTTGGACTAGGTTTTGAGGGGTGTGTCCAAGCCCCAAATTATCTGCAAAAACTGGGAGTAGATCATATTATGGATTTTTCTTAAGATTTCTAAAGGTTCCAGATAACCTCTGACCAAAGTCTGTCCTCTGCCCAGTTTTACAGCTGAGAAAGCCGCGGGGCCGGGCCTGGGGAGGGTGTGTGTTCGAGGAGGGGGCACTGGGGCCAGGGTGAGCCCGGTCTTCTCCTGCAGGAGTCCCAGGCCTCCTGGCTGGACGCCGTGGTGCCCCATTTGGCTGAAGTTCTGCAGCTGGAAGATACGCCCAGCATCCAGGTGGAGGTGGGGGTGCTGGTGCGGGACTACCCTGACATCAGGTGAGAGCCCCCATCCCCACGCCCACCTGGCTTCTTTGTGCCCTCCGCCGCCAGGCCGAGGTCTCCGGCGGGTCTTGGCGTCCGTCCCTGCGTTTCCTGCCTCTTGGGAGAGGGAGGGAGGCGGCGAGCGTGTCTGACGGCCGTTTCCTGCTGGAACCAGGACATTATTAATACGATTTCCCTCCTTCTCCTGCCGCCTCTGCCGCTGCCGCCACCGCCACCAAGGCTCGCAAACAAACAGGCGGTCACAGGAAGCCCAGGGCAGGGGGGCACGAGGCCGCTGGGCGGCAGGAAGGGCCGGCCCAGCAGGGGAGCCGCGGGGGACCCGGGGACACGCACGGGCACACAGGCGCACACGCACTGGACAGCGGCAGGCGCCGTTCACATCTAGTGGACCTTTTCCTTGATGTACGGCCCTCTCTGAGCCTCATTTTCTTCATCGGTTCCATGGGGTTGAAAAGTATTATTTTCATAGGATTGTTGGGAGATTCAATTCATCATCATCATCGATAGTGACAAGCATTAACAATTCCAGTTCTTGCTTAGTGAGTCCTTATGTCAGACCCAAGAAAGCATCTTACACACCCCCTCTTTATTATAGTAAGACTTGTAATGAAAGTTATTGTAGAAAATATACAAGTAAAGGCAGCGTTGTTCTAAGTGCCTGGCATCATTTGAGGCAGGGAAAGACTAAGCCGCTTCCCCCAAAAGTCACAGCTAGCAAGTGGCAAAGCTGGGACTTGGACCCAGGCAGCAGGTTCGCTCTAAAGCTGGTGCACCTGATCACCGCACCACACCGCCCCCTGTAGACGCCGGATGGTGGCAGCAATATCGGTAGGTGCTTTTCCTGCAGACATACTGTACTGGGAGAGACACAATCCCACGCTGGGGAGTGACCCATCATCAGGGCTTAGCATCCAGGATTGAGGTTGAAGTTCTGGGACCGAGTCAGGATGGACAGCACCCATGTCCTGGGAAAGGCACAGCCCTGGAGTCTCACGGGAGCAGGTGTCCCACTATTCCTGCTGGATTGAGGTTTCTGAACTTGACTCTGAACTTGAGCATGAAGCTTAGTTTGAAAGGTGTCAAGCTGGGCTGGGGGCAGTGCTTCCAAGGCTGGCTTGGGGGCTGTGTTCTGGAGCGTGGTTGAGCTGGAAGGCTCTTAGGCTACATTTTGGGTGAATGTTTTGGAGCCTTGGGGTTCCACTGTGTGAGATTTAGGGGTGAGGGTTGCAGAACAGAGTCAGGGTTAAGCACAAAGTTGTTGGTTGGAGTGAGGGTCTCCAGGGTGAATTTTAGTTCTGGAGTAGAATTTTGGTTGAGCCCAGTTCTGGGCATGGTTGGGATGCAGGTTCTGCCGTGGGATCTAGGCGGAGAGATTCACAGTTGGGAGCTGTGGAGCTGCTGCGGCCGAGAAGCTTCCAAAGCCGGCCTTGGGCTGAGGTGAAGGACATATGTGTGACACTTCTGGGCTGGAGCTGAGCGATGCTGGGGGTGGCCTTACATGAAGTTTAGGGTTCCTGTAGATTCCAGAGCATAAACAGGTGTGAGGGACCAGGATAGAAATCGAGAAGCTCTCTGAGATAAATTGGGGGTGAAAATGGAAGGTTGTTTTAATCAAGGATTAAAAGGAAGCTTCCTGTGCTGGGTTTGGAGGTGAGGTTTCTGGAATCTCTGGTGCGTGGAAGGCTTTGGAAATGGTTGGATGTGAAGTTCTGGAGGGGTCCGGCAGGGAGCCTGGGGGGTGGGCTGGTGTGAAGGGAGACGCTGGGGAGCCTGGTGCAAGAGGGGGATCTGGAGGGGCGCTGGTGTGAAGGAAGGGCCTGGGGGGGCTGGTGGTTGGAGAGAGATTTGGGGAGACTGGTATGGAGGGGCAGCCTGGAGGCAGGAGAGGGCATCCAGAGCTGAGGCAGGTTCTGGATGGACAGCGTCAGGTGGGCTGGTGCGTGTCTGGAGGGGAGGACCCCACGCACCTGCCCCTTCCTCTACCCCCAGGAGGAAGCATGTGGCGGCTCTCCTCGACATTCGTGGCCTGCGCAACACAGCCGCCCGCCAGGAGATCTTGGCGGTGGCCCGGGACTTGGAGCTGTCGGAGGGGGGAGCCCTATTGCCCCCTCGGGACCGCACCTTCTTCTCAGACGTCCCTGTGCCCCGCCCGCCCTTCTGCCTGGGCCTTCCTCTCTTCCTGGGCCACCTCCCCCTCTCCCGGCTGGCCAGGCCCCATTTGGCCTGTCTGCCCCGGCCTCAGGCCTCCTCTCTGTCCCCATTGCGGCCCCAGGCCCGGGCCCGACGCTGAGGGTCCCCCAGCCCTCCTCCTCAGTTCCCCCATCTTTGCTGCTGACAAATGGCCTCCTGCTCGGCCCCCTCCCAACTCCCTGCCTGGGACCACAGACCCCTGGGATGGAAAGAGCCTTAGAGGTCTTCCTGGCCACCCTAAACTCCCTGTACAGAAGGGAAACAGAGGCCAGAGGGAGCAAGGACCAAGCCAAGGCCGCGGAGCTCATTCCCAGAACCAGTGCCCCAGCCCAGTGTGTGGTGGGTGGTGTTTGGAAAGCTCTACAGAAATATCTCCGGCTCCCCGCCCCCCCGTTCCCTCACCTCAAGGTCTGGCCCTCAGCCAATGTATTAAGGAATGTATGATACTTAGAATAAAGAGGTTTCTATTTAACACAAGGAAGGGCTGAGTCCCCAGTGTGTGGGGGAGGAAGGACTGGGGGCAGGGCCCAGGGCCAAGGGCTTCTCACACACCCAAGGCCGGGCTAGGGTCCAACTCTTGGGCAGGACAGAGGAGGCTGAGGGAGGCCCTGCAGGGCCAGGAGCAGCCAGGCGGCCCTGTTTACACGGAGTTCCCAGGCTGTGTGACTCCATCACAGACCCTTGGCCACGCTGAGCCAGGGTTCTTTGTTTCGTCCATCCCAGAGTGCCTCTCCTTCATTTCTGGGCCTGGTAGTACCTTGGCATGTCCCCCCCCCACCTTACCCTACCCATCCATCGTCAGCCGGGAAGCTGTGTCAGGAGAGGAAGGAGATTGGGGGTGCGGCCGGTGGCATCCAGGGAGCCCTTCTGGGTTGACGCAGGAAAATCTCAGGATGGGAAAAATTCCAGCTTCTCACCTCCAGCCCTGCTGGATCCTGGTCCCCATGGAGACCTCGAGGTCATCTCCCTGCTGACCTCTGCCCCTCCGGCCGGTTGGACAGCCCATGATGGATGCTTCCTGGCGTGTTTTTTCCCCCCCAGAGAAGTGGGAAGGAGGAGGCAGCCAGGGGTCAATGTTGGGACTGCGGTTAGAACCTCACGCACATTCCGTCTCAGAAGCTGGGGGACTCAGGATTCTTGGAGCCCTGGGGCTGTATGACCCTGAGCAGGAAGCTGACCCTCTCTAGGCTGTGGTTCCTGTTCCTTTCTGGGGAGTTACTTAACCTCTCGTTGCCGAGGAATGTACCCTCCTCACTTCAACTCTGAAGCGTAGCTTTCAGTGTCATTGACATTCAAGTGAGGGACAGAGGAGTTAACACCGGGGTGCGGTTCTACAGTGTTCTTTTCAGATTTCGGTGCCCCACTTAAAAACAGCTTTATTGAAATATAATTCGCATACCAGACAATTCATCTATTTGAAGTGTGTGATTCCATGGCCCTTTGTGATCTTCACAGGCTTGTGCGACCGTCCCCATAGTCAACTTCAGAATGTTTTCATCACCCCCAAAAGAAGCCCTGTACCCCTTAGCCATCACCCCCAAGCCCTGTATCCCCCTTAGGCCCTGGTGGCCACTCATCTACTTTTTGTCTCTGCAGATTTGCCTATTCTGGACATTTTGTATAAGTGGGATCATAGAATATGTGGTGTGTGTGTGTGTGTGTGTGTGTGTGTGTGTGTGTGTGTGCAGTGAGGCTTCACTTAACATGAGATCTACCCTCTTAATGCATTTTTAAGTGCACCGAGCAGAACTGCTAACTATAGGCATGATGCTGTGCAGCAGATCTCTGGAACTTACTCCTGTGTGCAACTGTAACTTTATGTCCATTAAACAACTACCTGTCTACCCCTCCCCCTCCTCTGGAACCTCCATTCTATTCTCTGTTTCTACGAGTTTGAGTATTTAGTTCATGTAAGTGGAATCACACAGACTTTGTCCTTCTGGCTTCTTTCACTTAGCATAATGTGTCCAGGTCCATATTGTCACACATGGTAGAATTGCCTTCTTTAAGGCCGACTAATATTCCACTGTATGGATATACCACCTTTTCTTTATCCGCTCATCTGTCAATGGACATTTGGGCTGTTTCCAAGTCTTGGTATTGTGAATAAATATGTGTCCTCTGTGTCTGGCTTCTTTCACTTAGCATATTTTCAAGGTTCATCCATGTTGTAGCTGTGTCAGTATGTCATTTCTTTTTATTGTCAAATAATATTTCATTGTGTGGAGGTACCACGATTTATTACCCCTGTATCAGCTGATGGCTATTTAGGTTGTTTCTGCTTTTTAGGTATTAGGAATATGGTACCCCATTTTTTTTATAGATGGCAAGTGTTTTTTTTCTTCGAGAAACTCTGACCTCACTGTGAGCTTCCATTTCCACTTTTGTAAAATGGGGTAAAGGGTGCTAACAGCTGCATTAAGTTAGTGCCTACTACATGCCAAGTCTGTGCTCCTGAGGAGTCACTCAGCGACCCTTCTCAACAAACTTGCTGATTTGGAGACAGAGGTCTAGACACGGGGAGGGATGCAGCCAAAGTCACCACCAAGTGCCAGGGGCAAGACCCCCTCTGCACACCCCGTGCTCTGGCAGCAGCCACTCTTCCGGGCCAGCTCACTGAGAGGGCTCAGTGAGGAGGTCATACATGAGGCACACAGCACAGGACTTGACCCATGGGAAGTCCTTGGAAAAAGTTAGCTGTTTGGACTCAGAAGTTCTTTCAATCCCAACTCTGCCTTTTCTGGCTGTGGGAATGGGGCGGGGTTGCAGCCGTTTGCTGGGTACCTGGTCTGTGTAAGTGTGTCCTAAATGCACAGCATCTCATGCACTGTCCTCCGGGCTTGGGAGATTTCAGGCAGGAAGTGGGCTCTGAAGATTTGGCACCAGCAGGGGAACAGTATGTTGGAGACTGTGGCTGGGATTTCAACCCCAATCAGACTCCACGAGCTCTTGGCCACTGTCTACCAGGCCCCGCTGTGTGCCAGGCCAAACCACGTGCCTGAACTGTGCTCCGTGCCTTGCTGGCTGGTCCCAGGCCAGCCTCCCCACTACCCCCGGGCCATGGATGGTGTTACTGTCCTTGGCGCCTGGATGAAATCGCCACAGTCACTCTGCTCCCGTAGCCAAGTGGCTCAGCAGCCCCAACACTGGGGAGGAAAGAGATGCAGCCAGTGGGGAGGAGAAGCTATCGTGCGGTCACGGTTGTGTTCCAGGGTGAGAGAAAGGGCAGAGCGGGTCCTCCAGGTGACCTTGCCCTCTGCCCACTGGGCCCGGATAATCCAACTTCATCAAAATGTGAACTTGTAGTCAGGACTAAAGAGGCAGCTGGGCCGGAAATTCTGGGAAGGAGAGGTGCCGTGGGTCAGGAGCCGCCCCACCCTGGGGCTTCCCGCCCCCTCCCCTCCAGGACCCTCTTGCGTGGCCCAGTGCTTTCCTCGTGAACTGCTGACCCAGGCAGGTAATTTTCCATTGAGCCCTCTGCCTTAGGCAGCCCCATCAAAGCGCCTGAACAGTGCGGAAGCGGCCCCCAGAGGTGTGGAGGGAGAGGCCAAGGGAGGCCAGTACCTGCCCAGCAAAGCCCCCAGGGCCCTTCACCAGCCATCCGGATCCAAGCAGCTGGCCGAGTCTGCAGAGAGGAGACAGGCCTGGGGCTGCAGAGAGGGGGAAAGGGAGGGGACTTAGCAGGCTCCCAGCCTGCTGCACAGCCCAGCCCCAGGCCTCCTGCGACCTGCACCCTGTCAGAGGGCCCCTACCCCTGGCCGGGCGTCAGCGCCTCTCTCCAAGCCCAGCCCTCACTCTGCATCTCCACAGCTCTCCCCAGGTGCCACGCCCTGGAGTCTCAGGCTCTCTTCTTGAGACCTTGTGCCCTCCTGGAAGCTCCCCTCCCATTTCTGAAGTCTGCCTTCTCCTGTCTGAGCTTCCCTGACCCCCTCTGGGCTCCTGGTGGCTGAGTCCTGTCCCCCTGTCTTGGGTCCCCTCTGAGTCTCCATTCTCTCTATTCCTATAAATTAATTAATTCTTTTTAAACTATAAATCAATTAATTATCATAAATTATATTACCATAAAAATATAGTAATAAATGAACAATTGATTAATTCCGTCCATCCACCCAAGTTCATCCTCTAAGCGCAAACTTGTGCAGGTGGTGCTGGGGACACTGGGGACCTCAATAGCATTGGCCCTGACAATCCAGTGGGGGAGCCTTGTCTATCATCCAGACTGGTCAGGGCAAGAATTAGGCAACTCAGAGGTCTGGGGGTCCCTGTCTGAGAGTCAGGGAGGACTTCCTGGAGGAGGAGACATCTGTGCTGAGATGGCGCTCTGACCTGGACTACAGACATCATCCTGCAGTTCACAATATCCCAGATACCCTGAGGAGGAAAATAGAGCCCATACATCGCCCACATTTTCTTTTGTCCTGCCTAATGCATTTGGTTATACTTGGAGCAGTTTTCAAAGGGAAATTTAAAATGCTCATATCCTTAGACACAGAACTCCACTTTTAGGAATGCATTCTTTTGTGATATGCAGGTGCAAAACTGACACTTGAAGGATGGTAGTCACTGTTACACTGAAGCAGCAAAGATGGAAAACAGTCAATAGGTGATTGGTTAAACTGGGTCTGGCCTAGCCAGAAACGGAATGCACAGCAGCTGATAAAAGACTGGAGGCATCTCTTCCTGTTCTGATATGCAACACCTTCCAAGATACACTGTTCCATGAAAAATGCAAAGAGCAGGACAGGGGATACATCTTGGTAAATGTATGTATAATGCTAGATAAAGAACACTGCCCAATTTATATCTATGAGTATCTCTGGGAAATAAGATTAGAGGGAGAAAGAAGATTACTACTTTCTAATTCATTATCTATTCCCTTTGAACTGCTTAAAACTCCTTATAAAAGTGTAGTAAACACACAGAAAGGCACACTGATCATTAAGTGAAGCTCCATGAATTTTCAGAGAGAACACACCTCTGTAACCAACACAGGTCAAGATACTTTTCCAGTCCCCCTCCCTTGAGCACCCCCCAAAAGATCACCACTGCCTTGGTTCCAACACTATTGATTACTTTTGTCAGTTTTTGAACTTTATATAATTAGAACCACACATTCCAATGACTCCAGTTTCTGTCTTCTTTCATTCAATATTATACAGGTTCATTCAACATTATATTAGATTCACTCAACATTGTATGAGATTCATCCATGTTGTGCAAAGCAGTAGTTTTCTCATTTTCATTATTCTATGGGATTCCTTGGTAGAAACTTGCCCTTATTTATGCATTCTGCTGTTGAGGGACATGTGGATTATTTCCGGTTTGGTGCTTGGCAGGTATTGTTCTACATTCTCTCCAGCACTTGATATTGTCAGTCTTTTTAATTTTAGCTGCTCGAGTAAGTGTGTAGTAGCATTTCATTGTACTATTATTCAGAATTTTCCTGATGTTTAAAAATGTGAAACATCTTTTTATGA